ATCTCTAGGACTCGCAGAGGCGCGAGCTCCTCTCGGATGCAGCCTGGTTCCCGGGAGCCCGCCGTCAGCCCGCTGGGGCTTCCTGCAGCTCAGAGAGACGGTGCTTTCGTCTCAGTCACGGCCTCCCCGCGTCTGTCCCTCACCCTCCTGCTGGAGCTCCTGATGTGTGCATTCCCTTCCGAGTCTCTGCCCCCCGCGTTTCATCTTTTCCCTCGTGTCTTCAAGGCACTAATCTGGGTCTCAGCAGCGACCACCTGTTCCTCCGACTGGCTGCCGCCTTGCCGGCTGGGAGGCCACGTTTTAGCTCCAGGAAGTTGTTTTCTGCCATCTTTTGATCACCTCCAACGCTCCCTTTGGTGATTAGCTCTGTGGCCACTTGCTCTGTCTCATGGGCCAGGTACTGGGGTCCTGACAGAGCCTCTCTGGCTACCGAGCCCCTGGGGGCGGCTGTCAGCTCCGTCCCGCTCTGGGGGGACTGAGTGGCTCTGGGGGGCCTGATGTCCAGAGGGCTGTGTGAGTGGAAGGCGCAGCAGCCTACCCAGGGGTGGTGGTGAGGGGCGACAGGCCCAGCCCCGTGGGGAACCTGGAAGATGCAGAAGGACTAAGGATGTGAGGTATGAGGTGGGCCGTGCCTTACTCTCCCACGTGCGGTGCAGACGGGGGCGGGGGCTTGGACTAACCATGGAGCAGGCACGATGAGCGTGTCTCCCGCCTGAGCGGAGCCCCCCCCCATGCCCCGCCCGCGCTCAGAGCCTGTTTCCTGGCCTCCTCTGGAGCTCCATGAGCTGGTGTTGGTGTTCGGGCACCGCCCAGCTGCCGCACTGGCCTCATTGCTGGTCTGAGCCTCTCTGAACATCCGCTGTGCCCCAGGGAGGCCTCCCACGGCTCCCGCCTTCCTGCCTGCTGCCCTCCTCCAGGGATGCCACCCCTCAGCTGTCATCTCCTGAGACCCGAGTCCTCACCTGTGCAGCAGGCTTCCAGAATCTCCCTTCCAGGGAGGCCACAAAGACTGTCCCAGGCCAGATCCCTTGCTCCTGGGCCTCAGTTTCCTTTTTGAATAGTGGTCTCCCAGCCCCGGCACCCTGATGCTCTCAATCTCAGATGCTCACAGGTCCCTGCCGACCCAGCTCCATGGAAGACCTGGGTCTGGGGGTCTGATGGGGTATGGGCAAGCCAGGCTGGGTCTTGGGAGAGCTGGAGTCAGGCCACCACAAGGCCAACACCACTGGCCTGCGGCCTGGCCTGCAGGCGTTAACGGGCCTGGCTGCCCTGGGGACGTGAAAATCTCTGCCCCGCTCCCCGGGGCCCGGTTTCTTCGGAGACTCAGCAGTCAGAGCTGTCGCCAGGCAGAGCCAGCTGGCGCAGTCCCCGGGGCCAAGCACCGAGGAAGCAGCAGGCGGGCCCAGGGCCATAGGGGTGGGAGGGGCTGATGCTGGCCTCCGAGCTGCTTGGTGCCTGCAGCCGGCCGCCTGCCAGGACACTGGGTCAGCCGGTGGGTCGGGATGCGCCCCTTGGTCCAGGCAGGGCAGGGACGGCACACAGCTCCCTGCTCTGACCACGTGGGGATGAGAGGAGGTATGCAGGGAGACACGCCCCCAGCGGTCAGCCCCCAGCCCAGAGGAGGCCGGCATCTCCAGGGGGTGCGCATGGACCACAGCTCCGCCCATGCCACGGAACCTGCAGCAATGGCCACTGCGGACAGGTCACTCTTCACCCAGAGGGCAGCGTGGGGCTCTCTGGGTCCCCTGCCCATGGAGAGAGTGCCTGCTGCCCGGGGCTGCCCCAGCCTCGCACCTCTCCCAGCACAGCCCTGCCAGGCACCCACCTCGGCCTCAGACCTCTATCCAGACCCACCCCAGTCCCCAGGCCGACACCTCAGGCTGATCTCGGCCCCCATACTCCCATCTCTGTGGTGGACCCCAGCTCCAGTGCACGTCTGAAGCCCACTCCCCTCCCAATGGCCACTCTGATCCCACCTTCATCTTCTCTCAACTGCATAGCATTTGGTCCTAGATGCAAATGAGGGGGACACGAAGACCCTGCTGGGCCCGTTCGGCCTCCCCAGACCCTGGCTGGGAGCAAGTCCAGAGGTCCTGGCTGGGCTGCCATCTCAGGGGAGGCCCCAGTCCCCGACACCCACGCTGCTGAGCCTTGTGCCCCCCAAACCCACAGCCCACCAGGCTCCTGGAAGGCCCAGACCCTACCTTGGTGACATGCGCCCCAGAGACAGTGGAGCGGCTCCCCTAGCCCAGCCCTCGGGCTAGAGCCTTGCTCCTCTCCTGTCGGACCCCGGCCTCTCCCGTCCAGCTCCCCAAGACCCGTCACCAAGGAGGAGGAAGAGACAGGGGGACGCAGGGGAGCAGGGGGGCAGGCAGTGAGAGAGACCGGTCTTCGGGAGGTGGCTCGCACAGCTGCACAGATCACGGTGGGCTCGTGGGAAGGCAGCCGAGGAGGTCCCCAAACTGCCCCTGGACGGCGCATGGTCCTCTCACATGTGGGCCACAGCAAGATGCTGCTCAGTCATGCAGGCAAATGGGGAGCCTCAATGTGGGGGCTGCCGACAGTTCCCACGGCCACAGCTTTCTCCTGCTCGGCCAGGGGCGTGGCCGGTGCCCAGCGCCAACCTCAGGGTGACTGTGGGGTGGCTGCCAGCTGGGGCCCCTGTGAGCATGTTTTCCTTTGTCTGAACCTCCTAACGAAGCAGCTGCTCCTCTGGGGGCTAATTATCCACCTACCCGGGAGAGAACAAAGTGCCGGCCCGGGCGGGACAGAGTGGCCTGACACTCTCCATGGGCCCCGGCCTCAGCATCGCGGGACTAAGAGGAGCTGGGGGCTGGCAGGGTGAATGGCGCTCTGGGGCTGTGGAGGTGGCCCTGGGGCTGAGGGCCAGGGCAGAGGGCCAGCCACAGGGTGCTGGGCTGCAATCCCAGCCACTCCCCGTGGCCACACCAAGGGGGCGGCACTGGAAGCAAGAACAAGCCCCATCGTCCAGGGGTGACCTCCAGGAGTGACATCAAGGGGTGACACAGGCACGAGACGTTTGAGCCAGGAAGGTTCCATGTCCTGGGCCTGGGCAGCTCCAGTGTGGCCATCAGTGTGAGCTAGCTATGGCCAGGCCCCAGCCTGGAAAGGTGTGCGGAGAGCCCTGTCCCCACTCCTGCCGGGCACCGGGTCACCCAGACCAGGCCTGAGTCGGGTAAGGCGGGCAAGAATCTGAGGTGGGCTCAGGAGGCTGGCGGCAGGTTGCACGTGCGAGCACACGCGGATGTGGTATGTACAGATGCGCCTGTGGGTGCCACCCACTCCCGCCTGTGACAGCTGGCCTCTCCCCCGAGCAGGCAAAGTGTCCTCCGAGACCCCAGGCCAGACCTGCCCCCTCGAGGTCACAGGGGGCCTTCCCAGAATGTGGGGTACCACCAGCATCGCCCGCAGATGGCACACTTCCTGCGGAAGGGCCTCCAGCAGGCCAGCCCGCTTGCTCCCATGTTCTCTGTGCTCACCCTGCGCCTGCCCGGCTCAGATCCGCCTCAGGCCCCCGCCAGGCCCTCTGCCCCGCGCTCACCCGGCTGCTGACGCTATTTCCACCTCATGCCCCTGGGCAGCATCCTGGACTGTCTTCTTCTGACGTCTCCTGATTCTCTCTTCAGCAGTGTCTCTGTGGCTGTGGAGTCTTTAGTTCAGGGACAGCACTTCATCATTTTTAGAAGTTCCACTCAATTCTTTCTTGAATCTGCTAGGTTGTTATTTTCAAGCTCCCGTTTGACCTGACGTCACTGCTGACCTATCTTCTCTGCACTCGGCGAGCGAACATGATTGCACTCCGGGCCGAGCGCCCCCTCCGCCCCTGTGGGGGATCTTGCTCATGGTGGCAGGGTTCCCTGGGTCTTGGGTTCACTGACCTTGAAAAATCACTTATGAGGCACCAGGAGGTCTGGGACAAAGGCCATTAGCATTTCCTTCTCCCAGGCACCTAAGGGTCCAAGTTAGGAAACACAGTTTAAAAGGGCACTCAAAGCGTGGGGTCTTTCTGGCCAACCGGAGGTGGGAATGTGGTCTCCGTGTCCACAGTCAGGTGTAAACACGACTTCTCACGGGTAGACCTCCCACCTGGGCCGTCTGGGACACCCCCTCGGGGACAAGGTGGGAAGAGGGTTTCCCTCCACCCCCTCTCCTGGAGGGCACAAGTCTGTGGGATCCGGGTGATGTGAGCAGGGTCTCTCGCAGCCCCGGCTGCACCCCGTCGGAGGAGCTCCTGGGAGGACACAGTGGGCCCCCAGGAGACCACTCCTTACGTGGGCACCGTGGCTCAGGTGTGCAGCAGCTAAAGAATCCTCGACAACAGACACAGCTCAAGGACAGGTGGCCAGAGTAACCTCTGCGGCGACAGCAAATGGGCAAACCGGCTCACAGCTCCCTCCTGGGCTGTTGGCAGGGTTTTCTTCTCCTTCTTATAGATTCTGTTCTTGGCTTTGCTCCTTGACTTCGCGACCACCAGCCCGCTCTCTGGACAGCAGCCGACTTGCGTACAAACCGACGAGATGCAGGAGTCGGCCTTTGACAGCCAGGGGCGAGGCCACCACACTGAGCTCACTTGCCCAACCAGCCAGACACAAGAGCAGCTCACAGCCTTGAATTCAGTCTCCCGAGTTTTGACCCGGTAATTCTTTAAAACCGTGATAGCTCTTCATTGCTAAGTGACACTAAACTATTTTATGAAACATTTTTTGGGTGTTTTTAGTTGGGGCAGGTGCCAAGCACCTCCCCCTATTCCCAGGAAAGCTTCTGCAGAGCTGTATCCACCGCATGGGATACTAATGTGCTCACGGCCCTGGCCGCCTGCAGGGCCCCAGGGTCAGCAGGACCATCTCACTGCTCACGGCCACCACGGCCACGGGCCCGACACGCAGCCCACGCTCCAGCCTCCCTGCACCTGGATCTCCCCGTGGAGGCCCTGCCCCTGCCCCAACTCCACGTAACAAAGGAACAGCACCCAAAGAACAGGGAGGCCAAAGCATTTAAGTTATTAAATCAAATATACAGAGTGATTCATTTAATATGTACATATTTACAAAAATGCACTTTCACGAGGAGGGGTGGCCGGGGCCGGCAGGTGGGCAGCGGCCTGATGCCCACGGCAAACGCTGACAGTTGCGAGGGGAGAGTCTGTGAAGGCACTTGTCACAAGCTTCAATACTGCCACCGTCCCGGGGGAGAACAGAGCAGTCAGGAAGGGCACTTCTGAAAGCACAGTGGAGAGATCTCTACAGCGGGTGTTCCGGGCAGGAGCAAGCAGGGACGGCAGACTGGAGGGGACTGACCGGTGAGCCAGCGAGGGTCTGCCCACGGGCCTCAGGCCATGCCGACCACCACAGGCCCCACCTATGACCTCAAGCCCCACTGACAACCACAGGTGCCACCAACAGCCACGGGCCACACTGAACATCACAGGTCCCACCAATAGCCTCAGGCCACACTGTCAGCCACGGGTGGTCCCACCGGCAGCCATGGGACCCAATGACAGCCTCAAGCCATACCAACTGCCATAGGCCATGCTGACAGCCATGGGTGGTGCCACCAACAGCCACGGGCCACACCGTTGGCCCTGCTGTCACCCACGGTGGTCCCACCAACAGCCATGGGTCCCACTGGCTCTTTGGCCTGAAGCCACTGAGAACCCCAAGCGAGGAATAAAAAGGAAGATTCTGTAAACAGTGCACCACCTCTGGTAACACACGTTAAACAATCTGGTGAGAACACAGACACCCTCTGCTCTCTCCCGCCACACAGCAAGTGTGACGCGGAAACGTTACAAAAATAGCAACTATCCGAATACTCCGCTGTTCTCCACCCGACAGTCATCGAATAATTTATACAAGATTAAAGAAACGTAGAAAATAAACATTTGTTTTTGGTTTTTGGTGTTTTTTTACACAAAATAAAGAAACTATGCACACGGCCTCAGCCTCCTATGGTCCGGCGGGTGGCGCGGTGCCCAGCGAGGGGTCCTGGGTCCCAGGCCGGCTGGCGGCCACTGTCCTACTCCTTGCCGGCGCGGTGCACGTCGTGGATGCTCCTGACGGCACGGTTGTCCACTTTGGGGCCCGAGGCCCAGCGGGCCGGCCTCCCGGGCGAGCAGCCAGGGTCTTTGGTGAATTTGTGCGAGAGGAACTTCTCAGCCTCCAGGGGGTCGGCCTCCCCATGGCCAGGCTCCTCGTCCTCCTCGTCCTCTGCGCCGCCCGCCGGCCCGGGGAGCGCCTCGCCCGCCCTGCGCGGCGGTGGTGTGAAGTTCTTGCACTGGTACAGCACGTCCTTGGGGCCGCCGCCCGGGCCGCCACCGCCCGGCCGCTCGATGGGGTTGCGGATGGGGTTGAGGGGGGCCCACTGGTTGTTGGCGCTCTCCTCCCGCGGCAGCCGGCTCCTCTCCCGCTCTTTCCTGCGCCTGCGGCTCCACCACACACAGACGGCCACACACGCCAGACACAGCACGCTGAACACGCCGCACAGCACCGGCACCAGCAGACCTGGGGCGGGCGGCCGTGAGGGCACCAGCCTGTGACGCCCAGGCCTGTGGCTCCTGGCTTGAGGGGGGGTCCGGGGATAGGGGCTGGGACAGCAGAGCTGGGGAGAGGGCCCATGGTGGGGCTGGGGGCCCTTTACCCACAGGTATGGCGGGGTTTCACTTCCACCGGCAGAGCCAAGCGGCCGCCCAGCGGGGCAGCAGAATCTATAGCCCCAGGCTGGGCCCACCCCACCCCTCTGAGCCGGGTGTGCCAGGAAGAGTCCTGCTGGCCCAGGGGTCCAGGGAGCCCCTCCCCTGCTCACCTGTGGAGGAGACTCCCATGACGACCGTCTCCACCTTGACCTCAGTGACTGCCAGCAGCAGCGAGCTGTTCCCCCGCTGGGTGATGGCGGCCACGATGGCATGAGCCGCGCTCTGGATCAGGCTGCTGTCGGGCAGGTCCCGTGCCGGGCTGAAGGACTGCGGCAGAGGACAGCGCTGAGAGGCGCCCGCCGTGTCCAGGGGCCTGCGCGCCCCGCCCCCGGAACGCCGAGGCTCCCGGCCAGCTGCAAGAAGGGACACAGGCAGCTGCGGCCCCGTGAGCAGGGATACACTAGACAAGGGCTGGGGACTTGGGTCCCCCAGGCTTCTTGGGGGGAGGCTGATTGGAGGGGTGTCCCGCGGTGGGGATGACCCCACCAGGGAGTTCACAGGGAAGCAGGTGTGGCCTGATCTGCTTTTCCTGCTGACCCCCTTGCATCTGGAGTAGGCATGGCTGTCCAGCTGGCCACACCCACGGCCCTAAGAGCATCACAAACCCAGCACTGCTGCCAGTGCTAGTGCTGAAGTTACCCTGGGGCCATGCCTCCGCCCGTGTGGCCCCTACCACCTCGCCACCAGAGAAATGGCTCTGCCTCCTTCCCTCCTCTCTCTCTGCACATCCCCAAGCCATAGCCTCACCTGACGTGGTTACCCATTCACAGCTGACACCCACCGGGGGCCCAGAGCAGCGCCCCAAGGATGCCCACTCAGCCGAGACCCAGGCAGGTGCCCAGGCCTGGACCACATATCCCAGGGACAGCCTGAGGCCACAGGCACCCCTCCTGCCGCAGGCTTCCGGGAACGCGGCACAGACAGAGCAGGGGACCAAGTGAAAACAAGCCTGCAGGAGGACGGGGCTTCACCAACTACAATCCCACCCGCCCCGTCTGGTCAAGGAGGCCCCTGGCCGCGGCTCCAGGCACCCTGGCCACAACCGCCCCTCGGACTCAGCCCCACAGCCCCCAGTTAGGGTCCCAGATGAGGGCTCCCATCCCCAAACGCCCCAATCCTCAGCCCACAGCCTCGGGAGGCTCCTCATGCCCATCCTCCTCCTTGCAGGACCCTCCAACTATACCCTAGCTGTCTACCACAGGCCCCCCGCCACTCTCTTTCCCTCTCTGGATGCTGCTGCAGCACGCCAACTCCTGCTGTCACCTAGGGCTCCCCCGGCTCCAGGGACTCCTGCCAGAGGCCCAGCCTCCGAGGCTTCAGACGCCAGATCTGAGAACCGGTGCGATCCGAGTCCAGGGTCCCAGCCACCACTCCCCCCACGTTGCCTCTGTATCCCCACACCCAACACCTGCCCGGCCTATGGCACCTGCCGACCTGGCCCCCACCCCGCCCGTTTCTGCGGCCTGAGCCTGGCTCCCCCAGCACCTGCACCCGCTGGCACCTGCACCACTCCTCTACTCCATACCGCGGGGGGCAGTGCCCCCCCACCTCACCACAGACAAGTTCTCATGGGCCTCTGCCGGCTTGCTCTGGACCCGCCTCCATCTCAGCACACGGGACGGGTGAGCCCACCCTACACCCCTGCTCCACGTCCCTCGAAAAGCTGGCCCCGTGGGTCGCCAATTAGCACCTCCTTGGGCCCCGAGCGCACCCTGCCCTTCCTGTCCAGTGTCGGACGTTCACACACCTCCTATCCACCCCCCCAACCTCTGCCTCACCCCAGCTGCCGGCCCAGCGATGCACCCAGCCTTCTGGCCTGGCATGTGCACTGGCCCCACCAAGCTATCTGAGTGTCCAGCCTCTTGGACTCCCACTCTTCCTCCTCTTGCCCCTGCTGGGCCAACATCTCCTCCCCTGCAGACCTGCCCCGGCTCAATCTGCCTCCAGCGAGGGCAAGGGGAGCTGCCACAGCCCCGCCACCTACAACTGCACCAGGGTGGACTCCAGGTTCTGTGGGTCACCCCATCTCCCAGGGGACCCGAGACCAGGACCCCACTAGCCCAGCACTCACCACGGCCACCTCCACGGCGCTGGTTCCCAAGGACGGTCGGTCACAGAGCAGTATGAGCAGGCGGTCCCGGGCCACCGCCCTCGTGGCCGGCAGGGCACGGATCCCCGAGCAGATGGCGCCCACGGTGGTGCCCTAGGCGGAGATGAGCAGCACATGAGCAGGGTCCGGGGCCCAAAGAAACGAGGCCACTCGTCCCCTAGCTGGCACAGCAGGCAGGCGGTAGGACACAGCTTACAAGCTGTCTGGGGGCGCAGAGTGGGAACGTAGGGGCCAGTGGGTACCTTGCTTTCCACACCAGTCCAGTGCCCCCCACCCAGGATGAAGACCACCACTGCCCGCGTCAGGGCTGGTCGGGGCCTGGGGCGACAGCCCCCACCCCCCCAGTCCTCATCCTCTTGGCTTCCACCTGTAGGTACAAGGGGGCAGGGTGGGGCCTCATCTAGTTCTGAGCGCTCCCCACTGGGGTCAGAGCACTCAGGCCACACAACTGCCCACAGAGCTGCACGCTGGCCTGGACCGCCCCTGGAAAGCCGAGGGGCCCAGATCTGGTGGCCCGTGGACATCTTTAGTCCAGGCCCCTAGAACGACTGGACAAAAGGCACCCTGGCCTGGGACCGCCGCTCCTGGCCTCCCCTGCTGCCCCCACGGGGCACACCGGCCCTGGTACCCCCCCTCATGGGACCCCACAAGGCCAGGCTCCCTGAGAGGCCATGTGCCAACCACAGCCTCCCTGACCCCACAGGCTGAGCCACGGCCAGGGTAGCGGGGCTGCTAGAAGCAGCTTCAGGCTCTCTGAGTTGCCACTTAAGAGAAAGGATGAGGCGTCGGGCTCTGCAGACGCCTGGGGCACCCACCCGCAGGGGTGGCTCACCTGGGGCACCTGGTCGCGGTTGAAGCGCAGCGTGAGGCGGGCGCAGTTGTTGTCCAGGTGGCCGGAGCGCGGCAGGCAGCGGGTGCTGGGCAGCAGGGCCTCCTCGGCGCCACACTCCCCCCAGGCCGCACAGGGCGGCTGCAGACACTGACCCAGGGCCTTCTCCTGGCACCGCTGCCCCAGTGGGCACTGGGTACTCAGGGTGTCGGGCTGGCCAGCCAGCAGGCACGGCTTCTGCCCACACCACACCTGGGCCAGGCAGGCACAGAGAAACAGATGCGGGCACCAGCAGGCACCACACGGGAGAGACAGACACCGTCAGCGAGTCCAGGGCCGCACCCGCCCCAGCACCAGAGCTCCTAGACAACCCAGCACCAGAAAGGACCACCCACCCAGAGCAGGGTTGACCCTGAGAGAGGGCGGGGCCAGGCGGAGCCTGAACCAGGTGGAGCCTCAGTTTCCCCAAGTGCACAAAGGGAGGTGCCTGGTTGTGCCAGCAAAGGTAGAGAGACACGGCTCACTTCCACCTCCAGCACCAGTTCCCTGGTCTCACAAATCAAGTGTCAGGGTTATAGACCAATGACGGGGACCCCTGGGCCAGGGGCACTGGGACATCGGACCCAGGCGGGGCAGGGCAGGGCTGGGCAGGGCTGGTCGGGGAGGCTCTCGGGCAGGGTCACACACCTTGCTGCAGTCCCGGTGGCCATCCAGGCAGCGGCAGCTGTTACAGTCCTCCACCCAGGAACTCCCATGTGGGAAGGGCACGCCCCGTGACCAGCAGGACCTCCCGAACACGATCACTGAGGAGAGGAGGAGGGCTCAGCGCTGGGCAGCCGGCCCTGGAAGCCAGGTCTTGCCCACACCCCGACCCGGAATGGCACCACCCAGCACAGTGCCCCCCACCTACCCTCCTGGCAGCGCGGGCCGGCCCGGCCTGGGGGGCAGCTGCAGCGATAGCCGTTGATCTCGTCCACACATGTGGCCCCGTAGGCGCAGGGCGAGGACTGACACTCGTCCACGTCTGCAGGGAAGGACCAGGCTCAGCAGACAGCAGAGACCAGTGCCCACACACAGGCCCAGGGGGGCGTGAGGCAGGGGGAGGCCTGTGTAAGTCTGAGGAGCAGCCCCCAGGCCAACTGCAGCTCGGGCTTCAGTGTGCCCCATGGGGCCTCTGGGCTGAACCTGGCACTGCCACTAGCCTGCAATTCTTATTTTTGAGAAAGATTAGCCCTGTGCTAACATCTGTCGCCAATCTTTCTCTTTTTCTTTTTTCTCCCCGAAGCCCCAGCACGTTGTCATGTATCATAGTTGTAGAATTGTAGCTCTTCTATGTGTGATGCCACCTCAACACGGCTGGATGAGTGGTGAGTAGGTCCGCGCCCAGGATCTGAACCGGCAAACCCAGGGCCGCCGAAGTGGAGCGCACGAACTTAACTGCTATGCCACCAGGCTGGCCCCAAGCCTGAGATTTTAATAAGTACCTGCCCCCCATCCTCCTCCATCTGCCTCTGGAATGGGGTGGGCAGTGGTCTCTGGGGAACAAACACCCCACCCCAAACTAAGGTCAATCTTCTTACAGGGCAGCCCCCAGCTGCTGCTGTTGGGGTGAGTGAAGGGTGCATCTAGCAGGGCACAGACAAGGGGTTAACTGAGGCTTGTGGCGAGGCAGAAAGTGGCTGTGGCTTCAGGGTACGTGGACATCCCTGACCCCCAACTCCAGACACCTGAGCTGGGCTGGGAGGAACGCCCAGGGCTGGGATCCCACCACCCCACCCGCCCAGCCGCCCCAGGCCCCTCACTGATGCGGCAGTCAGGACCCGCGAAGCCAGGCGCACACTCGCAGCGGAACCAGTTGACACCATCGACGCAGACGCCACCGTTGTAGCTGCAGGGGAGAGGGCGGGTGTCAGGGAGGTCCCCACAGCAGCCCGAGCCCCCCGGGTCAGTCAGTCAGCCTCCGGGCTGCCACTCACCAAGGCAGAGGGTTACAGTCATTGGTGTCTGCATTTGAGAGAAGAGAAAAAGAGGTAGGCACGGCATCCACTCTCCCGTACCCCTGCGCCAGCCCTGGGGGACCCCAGACGCGTAGGGCAGGTGGACTCGGCACTGTCCACACCAGCTCACCACGACCAGGCTGGGAGGCTGGGGCGGGGCGCGGGGGCAGGGCAGGGGCAGCTTCGGGAGGAGGCTGCTCTGGGCAGTCACAGAGGGGCCTATCCTGGAGAATGCCTCTAGTTGAGGGGCACAAAGGTGTGTGCTCAGAGGAGTCAACAGAGGCTGGGACACCTGGGGAGGGAGTGAGGCTGCAAGGCTGGGGGGAGCCAGAAGAGCACAGCAGGTCTTGGGATACCACCGTGCTTTGGCGGACGGGTGCAAGGGACAGGTCTGTGGGGTGGAGCTGGGTAGCAGGCCTTGGGAGCCGGGTGCAGAGGAGTGGGCCCCCAGCCCACAGGCCTCCCCCCCGCCCCACGGGTCCCCACCCTGGAGGCCTCTGTTCCCAGCCCACAGCATCCCCTCCGCACAAGCTCACTGTGTGTACAGGTGCGGCCCTCCCAGCCGTCCCGGCAGATGCAGGAGAAAGAGTCCCCGCTGCCCACGCAGGTGCCCCCATTCACGCACGGGTTGGGCAGACAGCTGCTGTTCTCAGCTGTGAGGGGGGACCAGGGGACGGGGCTGTCAGCTGGCCCCGGCATACCTGGGTTCGACGGCATGCCCCCCCGTGACATGGGCAGACAGAGCCAAGAGCAGGGGCAGGCCAGCCAGCGTGTCCAAGGGAGCACAGCCTGTGCCTGCGCCCGGCTCTCAGGGCCCCTCACCGATGTGGCAGGTGCTGCCCCTCCAGCCCGGGGGGCAGGCACAGCGGAAGGTGTCCCCGCTGTCGTAGCAGGTGCCACCGTTGCTGCAGGTGAAGGCGTCGCACTGGAACTCGCCTGCGGGCACACGGGCCGCTCAGCGGGCATGCCCTGGGGCGGCGGGCGGGGCCCGGCAGCCAGCCCCCCAGCGCGGCAGGGCCCGGCGGGCACTCACGCGAGTGGCAGGTCTTGCCCTTCCAGCCGTCGTCACAGGCGCAGTAGAAGTCGTTGACCAGGTCGTAGCAGCGGCCGCGGCTGTGGCAGGGATCGGGAAGGCAGTCGTTGGGATCTGGGGGCGAGGACGCCGGTCAGCAGGGGGGTCACCGGCGCTCGGTGAGGGCTTCCCGGGGGGAGGAGGCACCCAGCTGGGCCAGGGAGCCAGAGAGGGGCGGGGAAGGAGAGCGAGGCGACGGAGCAAGGACCAGGCCTGAGCACTGGTGGGAGCCCCCCCAGGGGGTGGGTGGCTGGCCCAGCACAGATGTGCAGGGCCGGTGGGGGCTTGGGAGAGGCAGGCGGCCCACTCACTGGTGTCGCAGAGCTCGCCCTCCCAGCCGCTGGGGCAGAAGCAGCGGAAGGCGTCCACCTCGTCGATGCACGTGCCCCCGTTGCGGCACGGCTGGCCCAGGCAGTCGTCGATGTCTGTGGGAGGCAGGGGTGAGCAGGCTTCCCAGACTGGCTCAACCGCCACCCGGCCCACAGTCAACGGCCACTCACTCTCATGGCAGTAGGCGCCCGTGAAGCCGCTGTCGCAGGCGCAGGAGAAGTTGCCCCCAGGCTGGCTGACGCAGTGTCCGTGGGGGCCACACACGCTGGAGGGTGCTGCAACCGCCACCCTGGGGCCTGCCTCGAACCCACAGCCATCAATCACTGTGGCAGACCAGACGAGGAGGGATCAGCCAGCCCCCATACCCTGCAGGCTCCACTCCCCCATCCCCCAACTTCTGCAGGCCCCGCCCCTTGTCCCCCACCTCTGCAGGCCCCACCCCACCCTCCACAGGCCTCGCTCCCCGTCCCCCACCTCTGCAGGCCCCGCTGGGGCACGGCTCCCTGGGCACGGAGCAGTTCTTGCCAGCCATGTCGTCAGGGCACGCGCAGTAATAGTCACCCTCCAAGTTGTAGCAGCGGGCGCCGTTCTGGCAGGGATTCGGCTCGCAGAAGTCGATATCCACCTGCAGGGCAGGGGGCGTCTGTGAGGGCCCAGCCCCCCGCCAGAGGTACTGGGCAATGAGCCAGGCCTCGTGTCCATACAAGGAATCCCCGAGGCCCGCGCCCTGCTCAGCCTGGACACCCAGAGCCAGAGCCTGAAGATCTGCCCACCCGAGACTGACCGGGCTGTCAGCTGGACGGAAACACCTGCGGGCCACCAGGCCCCTCCCGCCACCCCGGCCTCCACTGCAATGTGCTTCCTCTGCCTCCCCAGGCAACATCCGGCCTTCAGCCCTCCTGCTGGCAGGAAGGCCAGCTCCTGAGCCCCTCCCTGACCGCCTCACCGCCCTGAGCCCCGTCTGTGGGTCCTTCCCAGAAGCACCACTGCCAGGCGCCCCGGCACAGGCTCAACCTCTACCCTGGGCTCCAGGAAGCCTGCTGGTCCCAAGCCCCGCCCCTAGCGCCCCCTGCAGCCCATTACTCTCCCCTGCAGAGACCAGGGCAGGTCAGAGGGAGGCGGGGGCATGAGCCGCTGGGGAGCATTACCCACTCCTACCCAGGACCCACACAGGGCACATGCAGCCCCTTACGCTCTCAAGCACCCTCACCTGACCCTACGGCCCCTCTTTCAGACTGCCCACATGCTACACCCCATCAAGGCCACCCACCCTCCAGTCACAGACAAATAGGCCACCTGGCAGCCAGCTGACCTGCCAGGGCTCCTGGCCCATCCACAAGAAGGATTGTTAGGACCAGCAGGGGCCCTGCGACCCTCCCCCTCCCCTGCCCCCCTGCAGCCAGGCACCGGGGCTCCGGGGCCTGGGTCTTGGTCCGTGACTGAGCCCCGGACACTGCAGGGCCAACCCCCACTGCAGCCCCTCCTGGTCACTTGGGCAGCCTGGGGACGACGGCCACCCCTCCAGCACCTGGGGCAGCGCCAGACCAAGAAGGGCAGGGCAGTGCCCATGGGCCTCACCTCGCAGAGCTGCCCCGAGAAGCCCTTGGGGCAGTGGCAGCGGAAGCCATCGACCAGGTCCTCGCAGAGGCCACCACGGCAGGGGCTGCTGGCACACTCGTCCAGCTCCCGCTCGCAGTGCCGGCCGCCGAAACCCCGCGGGCACACGCACTGGTAGCCGTTCACCAGGTCCTGGCAAGGTGCGAAGGGTGAGCCTCCTACAGCCCCCCAGCGGGCCCCTCCAACCCCCACGCCCCACCCACGCCTGTGCAGGGGCAGGGGGCCCACTGTGCCTTACCTTGCAGGTGCCCCCGTGCTGACACTGCCCACGACAGTCATTGATGTCTGGGGGAGAGGGTCAGTGTCATGGGCGGGGTCCTGGGGCTCCCCCAGCCCCGTCCCCTGTCACCACCCACCATACTAACTGATATGGCAGTTGACGCCCTTCCAGCCCGGGATGCAATCACAGTAATAGCCACCAATCAGGTTTTTGCAAGAAAAAGCATTAAGGCACGGCTTCCCTTCACACTCATTGGCGTCTGTGAACGAGACAAGGGGCAGCAATGGGGCCCGGGCCCCCCTGGCCCTGCACCTGGCGCCCGCAGCCCCAGCAGCCCCAACAGCAGCAGCCACATGCAGAGTGCAGAGTCCATGCGCACACGTGCCCCATGGGGCCCTTACCCAGCTGGCAGGTCGCCCCCACCCACTGCTCAGGGCAGATGCACTCGAAGCCATCCACCTGGTCCACGCAGGTGCCCCCTGCCGCGCATGGGTTGGAGGCACACTCGTCGATGTCTGTGGAGGGCCGGGGGACAGAGGGAGAGGCGTGAGGGTGTGGGAAGGTGGGTCTGCCCAGGGAGGCGGGGTCCGTGGGAAGAGGCAGGGTCACGTGGGGAGGACAAGCATAGTACCGGGTCTTCCTGCCACTCCTCCACCAACCACTAGGTCCACAGCCACATGTGTGGACTCAACCACCGTGCCCCCATCCACCCCCCACTCTCTAGACAACCTGAGACCCCAAGCTGGAGCCCCCAAAGACTCGAGTGGGCACTCACCCAGTGCACAGGTGGGCCCACTCCAGCCCGACGGGCAGTGGCATTCAAAGCCAGAGGGCACCTCGTGGCAAGAGCCGCCGTTGGCACATGGGTTGGACGCGCAGGCGTGCTCAGCTGCGGTGGGAGCCAGAGGCGAGGGTCGGGTGGGTGTCGTGGCCCAGGCCCCCCACTTCCACAAGTGCTCCTCCCCAGCCCCCAAGGCCCCCAGGTGGGGGTAAGGGGGTGTCTAGTGCACAGAGTGGCCAGGGAGACAGGCCCGGCTGGGCTCCCCAGAATCAGCACGTGCCGGGCCGCTGACGTACCCCGCTCACAGTTCTTGCCCGAGTAGCCGTCTGGGCAGGCGCAGCGGTACTGGTCGGGCTCTGCATTGATGCACGTGCCCCCGTTGGTGCAGGGGTGGTGGCTGCCGCAGTAGTTCAGGTCTGGGGGGGGTGGGGGGTGCTCAGGGGACAGGCCCCGCCGTCACTCCCCACCTTCCCCAAGATGGCTGAGCCTCAGGCCCTGCCACCTGGGCTGCCACCACCCGCCGCCTGCACTACCTTTGTTGCAGAGCAGGCCGCCCCAGTTGGTCTCGCAGTTGCACTGCCAGGGCTCTACGCAGCTGCCGTGCACACAGCCGGGGTAGGGGACGCACTCGTCACAGAATCTCCCCTGCCAGCCGTAGCTGCACCTGGGGAGGGCCGGGGGCGCAAGGCCCAGTGGGTGAGGGTGGACCTCAGGAGCTGTGCCTGCTGCCCAGGCAGCTCGGGAGGCAGGCACAGAGTCCCATGGGCCACCCCCCGGCAGGCAGCCTCAGCCTTTGAACTGGAGCAGGCCCCGGGCCAGCCCGGGGTTACGGCCCCGCCGGCCAGCCCGCACTGTGTCACGGGCACTTCCCGGCCGCTGGCCTCGGACAGTCGGCCGCAGCTGTCCAGTCACTCTGAGCTATTTTGGGACTCATCCCTGAGCAGGGCCCCAAGAGCAGGCGCCGGGAAAGGAAGGCCCTGCCGGGACCCCGGGAACGAGCGTGCCAGTTCAGACACGCCAGATCTGCCAGGGCCGGACGGCACCAGGGCTGGGTAGGCTGGTGGGACATCAGGAGACAGCTCCTGGCCCAGCCCCCGCTGTGTGACCTTGGGCACAGTGCATGACCTCACCTGCAACTCAAGGGCAGTAACTTCTCTCTCCCAATAGAGCTCCATCAAAAACCCATCTCACAGGTGGGAATACCGAGGCCCATGGACTGTGCCAGGCCAGCCCTGCGGGGGGCCAGACTCAGGGCAGTTCCTGACCCGGGAGGAGTCACCATGCCCTGGCAAATGGCCTCGAGGGGCCTTGCCCCGGCCCGTGCTGTGAGCCAGCGTCCCCTCTGGGAAGTCCTTCAGGAGGAGGGGCAGGCGGCTGGGACAGAAAAGGCACCCAGGCCATCAGTGCAGGCCCCACCCCAGGCCTGGGCTGCTCCTGGGGGACAGAGGCTGGCCACCCCTCAAGGTCTGGGGCTCTCCTGCCTCAGGAGCACTGCTATCAGCGGGGAGAGCCCAGCATCCTGTGGTGGACGCCCCAGGCCCAGCAGACGACCCTCCAGGCCCTGGACAGGACCCCCAGCGGCCCCCTTCCTAGAATTCAACGGTCCTGGGGGACGGGAGTAACGTCCAGGCCATGTCACTTCCACACCGGCACGCGCCACGTGAATTTATTTTTGTAAAAGGAAAGAGCCACGGCCCTTCCTGGGCCACTCCCCAGCCGCAGCCATCCAGAGGGGACGTGACCGGCTCAGCGGGCACTGGGACGGGCAGACTGAGGCTGGTGAGAAGGGCTCTGCCGTTCAGCCCACGTGCACAGGGAGGGTCCACGCTGGCTGGGACCGCACACCCACACCTGGAGTCCTCCCTCCAGGTGACGTGTGGAGATGGGGGCTCAAGCCGGGCGGTGACGTGCCTTGGGTCACCCACCAGGGAGCAGCAAGGCCGGCTGGGAGCCCAGACCCCGAGGGTCCCAAGGGCATGCTCTCAGCCCTGGGTGGGGCAGCCTCAGCAGGCCCCCACCTCCCCGGCTTCCCTGGCTGCAGCTCCAGCAGCCCAGGGAGGAGGCCGCAGGAAGGCACGGCCATCTCCGCGGCATCCGGTGTGGGGGGTGTCCTGCACTGAAACCTGAGCCCTGAGCCACCGGCAGCAGCTGGGCCTCACCCACAGGGCCACGGGGAGGGGGAGTGGGGGCTCACCTACGGCTCCCCCTCCCTGCCCCGTCAGCCCTCTGTCCCTGCAGAATCCTGCCCCCATCTTCCCGCACAGCCCGCACCAGCAGCGGGGGGCGGCGGGGAAGAGACTGACTCCTCTCCCACCTTCCTCCCACCGCGGCTACTCGGTCACTGGCCACCCAGGATCACTGGCACGGCGTCAAGGTTGTGCACTGCAGCAGCGGGTGCCACGCCAGGATGTACAGACGAGACCCAGCCCGTCGTGCTCACTGCCCACAGCCCGTGTCTGCCCAGAGGCCCCAGGCCCACACCCACTGCACAGGTCAGAGGGCAGAGAGCCAGCCCCGCACCCACCTCTCCCACTCTCCCACCCAGGACATGGATCCTAGGGGTGCTTGCCCCCCAAGACATGGACCACCCTGGGCCAGGGCCCCCACCAGGTGCCCTCTCACCCTGCAGTGCTCCCCACGCTGCCTCAAGGCCCGCTCAACTTCTCTGAGGTCCTGCAGTGTGAGGGGCTGGGTGGGTGAACCCTTAGCCCACCCCTTCCTTGGGCAGCCTACCCACCTCCCTGCCCTGGACGGGCCGGGGCTGCTCCTCACGCTACCTCCCAGGCCAAAGCCACCACAGAACAAGCAGAAGGGTCACCGCCCCTCCTTTCCTGGCTGCTGAGCCAGCCAGCTCCGAAACTTGGCTCTCCTGTCCAAACTCAACGCTGTGTGATCCCGGGAAAATAACACTTAATTTCTCTGCGCTTAGCGTTCCTGTCTGACAAATGCATATGGAAGCAAACTCAGGTCATGGATTAGTGAGACCCGAGGCTGGGGCAGAGGGCTTCACTCACCCCCACCCGCCTCTCTGCCAACTTGCAACTCCTCCCAAGGGCGGAGAGTACCCACCTGGTCCCCCAGCCCCATCTCCCTAGCTGTCCTCGTGCAGTCCCCAGCACCCGCCCTTGCTTGCACACTGTAAGAGTGCCCTGCTCGAAGCCCCCCGCCCACTCCAAGCCCCTCCGCTCCACTGCCAGGCAGAACTGCTCACCCACTGTCCTCCCCTCCCACTGCCTCCTGACCCCGCCCGATCTGGGGTCTCTCCCACCTCCCCCCATGGCCTCCACTGGCTGCACGTGGCTGCCATCATTCCTCACTCTCCTCGTGCCCTCCGACCCCCCGCCCATCCCGTGTCATCTCCTGTCCCCTCTGACCCCAGGCGGCGCTCTGCCGGCTGCCTACCTTCACCAGCAGGAAGCTGGGGCTGGTTCCTTGGCCTCTTCTCTCCATCTGCCCCCAGCCCAGGCCTCTCCCCACAAACCCTCGGGGAAGCGCAGGGAAGACATCACCCTGTGACATCCCCTGCCTGTCTCTATCCCCGCCTGCTCCTCCCGCAGCCGTCCCAGCCCCAGGCATGGCAGCTCCACTCTTTAGAGGCACAGCTAGAAGGCTTGGGGTCCTCCTTGATGCCCCCCTTCCTCTCACCCCCACACCAAATCCACTCCAGGATGTCTGCAGGACCGACCACCTCTCCACCTCCCGCTGGATCATCACCTCCACCCCCCACCCCTGCAGCCACCTCCCCGCCTGGCTCTGCCCCACCCAGCAGCTGCCCTGGTCCTTCCACCCCACCTTGCCCAGCCCTAAACCCTCCAGCAGCCCCTCTTCTTTCCCAGGTGCCACCTCCATGCTCGCTGGCTCTCCCCGTCCCCACCCATGAGCATGAGCCACCGTGCCCTCCGTGTCTGCTCTTCCTGTGCTGCAGACACCCACCCCTGGGTGGCTCTTGGCTTCCAGGCCTCTGCCTGTGGGGCATCACTGTCCAGGCCATGTCACGTGAAACGGCCTGGCCACCCTCCCTGGTCCCCTGCCACACTATTCTCGTGGGGCTGTCGCCATCGGGCACACCCCAGGCTCTGAGGACAAGTGTCTCCCCTGCGCTGATTACAAGCTGCACAGGAGCAGGGCCTGCGTCCCTAACTCAGTGCACACCCCGACATCCAACCCAGGGCCTCGCGCATGGCGGGCACTCAACCAGCATCTCCTGGGGAGCAAGTGTGCAAGGTGGCAGAGGGGGGCCAGTGCCCAGCACTCACCTGCACTCCCCGGGCACGGCGCATCCCCCGTGGAGCAGATTGCATCCTTGTTTACACACAGCTGCGGACAGAGCGGGCAGAGAGGCACGGCTGCGGCAGCCCTGTCACCACTGCCCTGGGAGAGGTGCTGGGGCAGCAGCCCTCCACGTGGCGCCCCGTGGCTCCTGCGCGTGGCCCCCACACCCCCTCCAAGTGGCCTCGCGCGCCCCTTCCATGTGGCCTCCCCAAGCCCCCCTCCATGTGGCCCCGTGCATCCCCTCCGTGTGGCCCCACGCATCCCCTCCGTGTGGCCCCCACGCCCCTCCGCGTGGCCCGCTCACCTTCCTTGCACTCCTTGCCCATCCAGCCATCCATGCAGGCCTTGTTGCCGTACTGGTCGCAGGTGTAGTGGCCAAAGAAGTCGTTGCGCGGCCGGCAGAACTTGTTGCAGGTGGCGCTGTAGTAGTTCTCGTCACAGCGCACGCGGATCTGCAGCTCCAGGTGCGCCACGTGGCCGCTGAAGTGCAGGCTCTTCCAGCGGTCCTCGGGGTTGATCATGCCCGCGTGCGACACCCGCTCGATCAGCAGCTCCTCTTGGGGAGGCGGCAGAGTCAGCGCGGCCGCCGGGGATGTGGCATGGGCCCCAGCGACCAGCCCGGCCAGGCAGCCCCGGGACAACAGCAGTGGCCAGGGAGGGCGGGCAGGAGCCGGGACAGCAGGGACACTGGCCCGGCTACCACAGGGAGCAGAGAGCTGAGACAGGGCTCCTGCTCCTCACCCCCAATGCAGACGGGTCACGGAGGGCTGGGGGCCCCAGGAGGAGGCAGGGCTGAGACCACAGCTCCTCAGGGTTGGCACGAGCTGCTGCGAGGCCACAAGCTCCGTGTCCCCAGTATGCCCCATGCCAGTGCCCCTCCTCGGACACCGTGTCTGCCCCTCCCTGCACAGGATGTTGCTTAGTTGTCCCCTCTCCTGCTCTGTGATGCTCCCTCTCTACGGGGTTGTTCCCAGTCGTGAGCACACGGCTCCTGACCCCGTCTTCTTTTTTTGTGAGTAAGATTGGCCCTGATCTAACATCTGCCAATCCTCCTCTTTTCTGCTGAAGAAGACTGGCCCTGGGCTAACATCCGTGCCCATCTTCCTCCACTTTATATGGGACACCGCCACAGCATGGCTTGACAAGTGGTGTGTCAGTGCGCGCCCGGGATCCGAACCTGCGAACCCCGGGCCACCGCAGCAGAGCACACGCACTTAACCGCTTGCACCACCGGGCCAGCTCCTCTGCCCCCATCTTAAAACACCTTCTCTCACCCCGGGATGTGCGTCAATCCAGTGATCTGACAGACAGGCCTCACTTTGAACGAAGCCACTGCACAGGGGAAGGGGCACCCTGGGTCCGTGAAACCCTGCCCCACGCTTTTGTACTGGTTTGGGATTTTCCACAATAAAGGCTAAGGAATCCCATGCTCCCCTCCCTCCCTCACGCTGCGTCAAGCAAAGGCCTGGGGAGAACCCTCCCCAAACAGGGCCTGGCACCCTGTGCCCCACCAACCCATCACCTTGCCACCCTCCTCCCAGGAACACTCATCCCCATGCTCGCCTGATCCCCCTGACCGCCGCTCCCAGCCCGGCCCCTCCATGTCCCCTGAGCATGGGGACCAGTGGGACCCAGGGCTCTGGCTGACTCAGCACCCAAGTGCCCATGTGACGTCACCCTCCAATGCAGCATGTCCAAACCACGCCCTGGCCCAGGCCCACGATGGCCTCTCCACCCTGCCGGCTCCTCGGGCCACCCCCAAGCCCGCTCTCTCAGCACAGCCAACTCACTGGCAAACCTCTGCTTCTACTTTCAGAGAGGACCGGGCCCTCCTCACCCCTGCAGGCTGCCCCAGGTCCAAGCGCCCCCACTGCCACTTGGAGTCACACGGCAGCCTCCGCATGGTGACCCCATGACCTGGCCCCAGCCTCGCTGCCCTCATCATTTCCTCCCAGCCACAGGCACCCCATGCTGCTCCCTAAACACATCGGGCTTGCTGTTCCTCGGGGCCTTTGCACACGCTGCTCCCACCCCCTCTGGGGCTCCTCTCCCTTTGTCCACAGAAAACCTCTCTGCCCTCCCACCATAGGGCACCACAGACTGGCACGCAGAGGCTGGTCGGCCAGCAGGTGAGCCTCAGGGAGAGGCCCATCAAGCCCCATGTTCCAGAATAGATGAGCAGACAAGGGGCCATGACGCCAGAGAAAGCCTCTCAGGGGTGCCCCACTCCACCATGCCACCGACATGACCCCAAAAGGACATGCCCATCAGAACACAGATGCAACTGAGACTGGAGAGGAGAACAGTGCACGCGCAGCTCTGCAAATCGTAAACATGGCAGAGCTTCCTGGCAGTCAGGGCAAAAAGGAAAACAGTGCACAAGATCCTCGTGGTAGAGGCAGCTTTCCTGGCACGTGAGCCTCTGTCCCCAGCAAGCAGAGGACCAGGAGCCTGGCCATATACATCTCTGTGGCTAAGGGGGGTCAGCCTCCCAGTGCCCTGAGGGAGGCCCTGCAGACAGCAGCCTACCCAGCCTGGGGCTAACTCACCATCCGGGGTGGTGTCATTGTCCCAGTCCCAGGCCTCCACGATGAGGGTGAAGGAGCGCTGTCGACAGGGAAGGGCCAGTCAGGTACCCCGGGCCCCACCTGCCTGCTGCTGAACAGGCGGGGGCCAGCCCTGCCATACCCCAGCCCTGGCCCCGCCCCCAGTGCCCCCGACTCTGCCCCCTGGGCCTGTCAGGGCTCCTCCCCACCTCACCCCTCGGCTCTGGGGAACAGCCCCAGGCCACATCTCAGCAGACCCGAAGATGACCCACTCAAGGGAGGAAGGCTGCTCCTCCAAGACGAAGGCTCAGGAACCTGGGCTCCGGGCTCCTGTGCCCCAGTGGCCCACACCTGGCCAGCCCGACTGGCTCAGGCCAGCACAGACAGAAGGGACAGCGACTCGGGGAGAGCAGAGGGCACAACTGGAGTGGCCACAGACAGAGGTCCCCGGGTGGCCCAGACCAGGGTGTCGAGTGCGAGAACCCCTTGGCACCTCAGTGCCAATCCATTCCCTCACGCCTGCCACGCCCTCAGGTCCTGATCCACAGTGGGGAACAGAGGTCCTGCTGCAAGCCCACCCGAGGGACAATGCCCCATGGCCACCCTGCTACCCCTCCACCATGCCCACAGGCCCGCAGGGCAGAGAGCATGCCCACTGCGAGGCCCCGACAGGCCCAAGCTTGGGGCTGCCCCCCAGACACAATAAACAGCACGGAACCCACAAACCTGCCTCACCTGACAACAGGAAAAGGAGCAAGGACACAGGGGGAAACTGAGACCCAGGGAATGCCCAGTGCAGCCTCAGCCCACAGTCACTTCTCCCCCCACCCCCTCCCAGGACCATCCAGCCCTCGTGCCCTAGGCCACGTGGTGGGGTGATGTCACTCAGCAGCCCCAAGACCCACCCCCTCCATGAGCATAACCAGAGCCACCATGCAGCTGAACCCGTCACTCACGGGCACACGCTGGGCAGCGGGGGCAGGCCTCGCCCCCCACCCCCACCCCGCCCCGCCCTTCCCTGCTCAGGCCCCTCTGTGGCCCCCCACCCACACTGCTCAGCCTCCTCTCCTGACCAGCCATGAACATGCTGACCACCCCCCACCCAGCCCAGGCCCTGCCCCAGACCAGGGGTCCACAGGACACGGCCAGCTCTGGGGCAACATGCCGGCTGGTTCCCTCCCACACCAGTGGGCACTGCACTGGGAAGGCCAGACTCCTCCCGCCCTCGGCACCCCCATCTTCTAGCCCCTGCAGTCTGGCTGTACCCGGGAAACCAGGGCCCCCTTCCCCCCACGCCTCCAACTGCCCCCTCCTGTTCCTGCCCCTCCAATGAGGCAGCCTCAAGGCCCTGGACACTGCCCACTCTGAGCTCCACTCAGCCTTCCCCACACTGCTGCCCCTGCCCTGAGCCCAGCCCCACCAGCGCCTCCCCCAGACACCCCAGGACGACCCACAGGACCCCACACCCACCCAGGAGCACGAGCTGTAACTGGGGAGACATCCACCAGGCTTCTAGAACTCTCCCTGCCCCCGTGGGGCTGTCACCAGACTCTCAATCCCACTTCTTGAGTGTCCCTTAAATCCATTCCCTCACGCCTGCCACGCCCTCCGCCAGGCCAGCAGACCCGTGTCCAGGTTGCCCATCCCCTCCAAGGACTCCCTGCAGCCTCTGGGGCCTCCACACCGCCATCCAAAGGAGCCCCAATGGCCCCCAGGGCTCGTCTGCCTCTCCTCCGCTGCTCACAGCCCTCTTGGGGATCCTGCGGCTCTGGCCCTCTTGGAAGCCACCCAGACCCTGCTCTGCCTCCACCCCAGCATGCCCACCCTGCCCCTGGGCCTTTGCACATGCAGCTCCCTCCCTCTGCGTAGAATGCCACCCTCAACCGGCCTGCCCCTGGCCACACCCACTCCTGGTGACAGCTGGAACGCCCAGCTCCTTCCTAGGCTTCACTCATGTCATTTCATTCATTCATTCATTCATTCATCAAGCGTACACCAGGCATGGCTCTGCCACTAGGGACCACAATCTCTGCCCTGGCAGACGGATGAGTCAGCGGGGCTCCAGGGGCAGGGCGCTGTTCTAAACAGGGGACAGAGCAGGCCTCGGAGAGGATGACGTTGGGATTGAGGCTGCCGAGGAAGCAGCCCAAGGGGGAGGAACCACGGCAGGGCCGCGGGGCGGGAAGAGCAGGGACGCGGAGACAGAAGTATCAGGGCCAGACTGCGCAGGGCCACAGACCCCCGCACCAACTTTGGCACCAACGCTGAGCAAATCAAGCAGCCGCTGGGAAGTCTGAGGCCTGAGACCCAAGGCAGTCAGTCTGGCTGCTGGATGGAATGGGCTGTAAGGGCGGGCACAGGCGAGGCAGGGAGCCGGCAACGGGCTGAGCCAGAGAGAACAGGGCCAGGGTGCACCTGCGACCACCACCGCAGGTCGAGCTGCCAGCAGGGCAGGCGGAGGAGAGCCCCAGGCCCGGGCCACCCGTCCCACAGGGCCACCGGCGCGTTTCCCGCACCTGGGCTTATGGCGGCAGGGAGCTCCTCCTGGCTCCCAGGAAACCCTCGCCCACGGCTCAGGTAGGATTACTGCCACCTTCGCCCGAGCCAGGGCTCCGGTTACCTGCTCCCGCGGGGCCGTGCGGCCGCCCGCCCGCCCACGAGGGCCCCTCCGCCCGCCAGCTGGGCTCCCCACACCTGGACGGCAGGAAATCACCCAAGGAGAACCTGAGCCGCGGCAGGTGCCCCCTGCATCTCCCCCAGCCTCCGCCCCTCCCCCAGGCCGGCCTCCAGGACTCAGTTTCCCTCCGCAACAGACAGCCTCTCCTCCCTGCGCTTCCTGCCTCCTTGGCCGCGGGCCAGGACAGGGTGCTGTCAACCCCAAATCCCCAGAGAACAGGAGAGGACAACAGGCCTGGGCTGGGGGCCTTGGAGGGTGTCCCGGAATTGCAGGGACAGGGTTGGGGTTGGGCAATGAGGCTGGCGGTGGGGTGTTGGGGCGGCTTCCCTAGCGAGCCGACAGGGAACCCCAGCCTCTCCTCCCCAGCCGGCCCCATCCTTGGGAGGCCAGCCAGCCAGCCGGCCAGAGTCCCTGCTTGCCCAGCCACACCTCTACCCACGAGCCTCCCTGACCCACCCACGCCGCATGGGCAGACCCCCAGCCTGACCATCCAACTGCCTCCTCCCCAGCCCAGACCCCCAAGGCCAGATCCAAATGGTTCATCTGAGCCCCCACAAGGGGTGACAGGAGTGATGGGGCAACAGCCCCAAAACGTGGAAATGACACAAGGCAGACGTGGGACCGGCTGTACCAAACCCTCTGATCCAGGACACCCACAGCCCAAGGCCCCCACAATCTAGGACACCCCACGGCCCGGAGCACCCCAGGCCAGGAAGGCCCAGCACAGCGCCTAGGCCCACTGCCCAGGTCCATGGGCTCCAAGACGCTTCCTCCCCGCAGCATCCCACATCAGCAACCCAGGCCCCCATGGAGCAGAGCTTGGTGCCGGCGCCAGGAGCTCTAAGCACAGATACATTTCCTGAAACCTGAGCTTTGGAGAGGCCGGGGCCTCTGCCGCCATTGTCACCCAAGGGAGAGGGGGAGGGGACCGCCTCCCCCCAAGGCGTTGTGCCCCAGGGCCACAGCAGAAGGAGTGAACCGAAGGCCCACCCCACACAGGAACCCAGGCGCCCACACTCCACCCCAGAGACCAGCCAGGGCCTTGCCTGGGCCAGCCCCACCCACCCGACCCTCAGGTCCCTCGCTGCCAAGAGGGCCAGCAGCCCAGGGGCTCGAAGCACCTCGTCACACAGACCTTGTGGGATTGCTGCAACAAAGCCCAGGATCAGGCTGATCCCAATCACACAGGGCTCACCTGCAGTCTGGGGACCCGGCTCACCTGGGGTCTTGGGGATGGAGATCCTGGCTCACCTGAGGTCTGGGGGATGGAGACCCCCGGCTCACCTGGGGTCTGGGGACCCCGGCTCATTTCGGATCTTGTGGATGGGGATCTGGCTCACCTGAGGTCTGGGGGATGGAGACCCTGGCTCATCTGGGGTCTGGGGGATGAGAACTCTAGCTCAGGCCTGGGGATTAGAGATGTTTATCTCCCCACTTCTAGCTCAGGGCCCCACTTGGCTCCCCCAAGAACCCCCTCACTGGTCCAGGGTGCTCCCCATCCAGACATGACAAAGCAGCCTGAGAAGGTCCCTAAGAGCCACAAGCTCTCTAGCAACCCCTTCCTGTCATGCTAGTCTTGCTCCCCAACACCCACGCTCGCCCCAAGGTCCAGGGACAAAGCCCCCAGCCCATTTCCAGGCCCTCCACAGGCCAGTGCTGTCCTCTCACGGTCCCCACTTTGCCTGGGCACCGAGAGCCCTACTCTGCCACCCCCGTACCAAAGCCTTGAACAAGGCTTCTGACGCATGAAGCAGGTGCCTGGGCGCAGAGCGGGGCACAGCCCGCCGAGTCCACCCAAGCAGGACTCCTGGCCCCTGCCAGGAAGCTGTGGGAAGTGGGCGGTGGGCCCCAGTGTGCACAGAGGAGGCCCTAGGAGTGTGTGTGTGGGGGGTCTAGGGCCCACATCAGCCCCCAGCTCCTTAGTGGGGGCAGGAAGCACAGGGAGGACGGTGCTCCTGGTGCCCCCACTGCCACGTCCCCAGGCGCAGACCCCAGCCTGGCCCACCTTGGGCTGGGGGCTCATGCAGCTGCCAAGCCCCCACGGCAGGTGGATGCGGTGGGGCCCGGCCCTGTGTTCACATCCCACCAGCCGCCCGCTTTGGGTATGCACGGTCCTGACTGGCCAAAGTCCCCGCCCCCACTCCTGAGCACACCACAGCCCCCCAGGGACTCCGGGTTTCGGCTGGGCAGCCAGTGGGGGACGGGGAGGAGACGAGGCAGGTGGCGGAGCCAGGCTAAGGGCTCCTGCAAGCCTGAGCCCTGAGCCCTGTCCCCTTTAGGAGAGCACACCATCACGCCACGTTACAGGCAGGAGAAGCGGGCCCCAGAGCCTGCCATGACCCAGGATCTCAGGTGGGCTGCGCTGTCAGAAACTGGGTGAGCCTGAGGCCCACCTGCAACATGCACAGC